TCCGGTCAGTACCAGACGACTGCAGTTGATCAAATGAACTGACCGGGCTCACCCTCCAGCGTCCGGTCACAACCAAACCAGCATCCGGTCAGTCATTTGATCCTCCATTCACTTCCAACTCGAAATCCTATATGAATGAAGTTGACTCCAATTGATCTTAGGGATATTCCTGAGCTACCTAGTGCTAGGTTTGATAAGTGTGCACCACACCTAACCCACTAGACTCACCTAGGTCAAGCTACTAGTCCATACCCCCCTTAATAGTACGGCCAAAGGAAAAACAAAGTCATAAACTACTCCAAGTGTCTTTCCAACACCAAACGGCACTTAGAACTAGTCCGTCCTTAACCTTGTCGTCCATCCTTTGAAAACCAAAATGATTTCCATCGACAGGGGCATGACAACCATGATTGCCCAATCAATTTCCATTACCATGACCTAACTCAAATTGCCTCTACAAAACACATGTTAGTCATAGTAATCTCGTGTCGTCATTAATCACTGAAACCCAACTAGGGGCCTAGATGCTTTCACATGATATAAAAATAAATATATGAACTCGACGATGAAGAAAACAGAGCGGAGTAGATAAACATTATGTTTGTTTGAAGTGATCATATTTTAAATATAAGTGACTTCCTTCCATTTGGTTCTATATCACGTCGCCAGCCCTGACTAGCCCAAACTCTAGCGCGGAGTGGCCGGCACCCGTATACGCGTAAGAGAGAGAGAGCGTTGCCAAGGAGCCGCTGCTGACTGTCCATAACACAGAGCGTGGCTCGTGCACGTGTAGGAGCGAAGTTGAGGTTAGGGCCGTTTTCTAGGTGCCGCGAGTAAGAACGTGGCTGGTTGGCGAGTCGAGTGGAGAATATCTTAAAGATAATTCGCATGGAGAACAAATGGAGATTATTGGAGACATTAATCATGGAGACATATTGGAGAAATAACAATAGGAGAAAACATGGCAAAACTTAGAGAAAATTGTATTAAATTTAGATATAGGAAGGGTACTTATCTTTAGTGAGAACGTCTGATCGGCGACGTATGACGTTATCTGGTCGGGTTTGGAGCTCTTCGGCCTGTCATCATGGCGGCGGTCGTGGTCGTCATAGCACAGTTCTATGCGGCTATCATCGTTGCGACGCGGCAGGCGGTTGGAGCGAGTAGTCCTGGCGATGTCGTCCTTATGCCGCTGATCGGCCTTATGCAGATCAGATTCATGGAGATCATTGACTGGTTCGAGAAACGATGCTGTATGACGGAGTAGATGGGACGTGGCTGATTTGCAGCATATTGATAGTTGGCGAGAGCTGGTCGGTGATCGGGTCGGCGAGAGGGTAGATGTCTCCAATCTGGTCGGCGAATTTGTCCCTTAGGGCATCCTGATGGGTGGTGGCCATATCCCCTAGAGTTTCCCGTTCGGCTTCTGATAGATCGAAACCGGAAGGTGGTCGGTGCCGAACCAGAGTGGTCAGAGCCGATTCCGTGAGGGAGAGGCAGTCGGCGAGCTTCTGGCCGACCTGATCGATGGATGCGATCAGATCGTCGTTGCCGACCTGCTTCCTCGAGTAGCGGGGCAGTAGGCGGCGAGTTGTTGGTGAAGACGACCTCGGAGGCGGTTCCGGGATCGGATCAGCTGTTGCAGGCGTTGGTGTGGTCGGCGCAGAATCGATCTGCGCCGGCTTGAAGATCTCTCCGTCTCCATCAGCATTGATGACCCAAGAGATCGATCCGACCGTAAAGATCTGGCCGGGCCCTGGAGAGGATGAAGAGCCTAAAAAGTGTACCATCTTGTTCGTCATGGAAACATCACGCACACCCCTACCTGGCGCGCCAACTGTCGACAGAATATCATCGGCAGTCCTTCGAGAGATATCCTACGAAGGTAGATTGATCGGCAGAGGTGCGTGTAATCAAGAACAAGAAGGCAACAGGGACACAAGAGTTAGACATGTTCGGACCGTCAGCACGATGTAATACCATATTCCTATGATCTGTTTGTTTGTATTGGCTATCCTATAATATTGTGTGTGTGATTGGATGTGGGATGGGGCATGCTGACTAGGGGACCCCTACCCCTCCTTATATACACTGGAGGGGTAGGATTATAAGAAAAGTATCCTAGTTGGTTACATGGCAAGTATTAGATTACAATATCTGTAGTATCCGATCAAATCTTCTAGATGACTTGTAGTGTACGCCGAGCAGTGCCGTACACCGTAAGTCTTGAATCTTGTGGGCTGGACCGTCCCTGACCGTGCGATCCATGTCCTTTGCCGTGGGTACATGGGGTTATACGCCCACAGCAAGTAATAGTGCTCCTCACGTCCTTGTCTTGTTTAATCCAGTTTTTAATGACAAGGGGTGCCTTGGTGGTATTAGTTTAAGGGTTGCGCTCAACAATCACATGGGACTGAAAGTGAAAATACAATACAATACTAGATGGTGTTGAAGAATCCTTGGATTTTATTCTGCTGGAATACTGTCTCAAAGAACTATTTCAATGCTCACATAGGTGCACATGATACACCCCATGTTTACTGATTCCTTCTGGATTCACACCATTGTCATATTAAGCATATAAACATCAAAAGCAAAAAAATCCTGAGAACTCATCTTATTATTAGCACACATCGCACCAATTTCCGAAACTTATGTTTCAAGATTCATAGCCATGATCATTCATGGTTTCACGAATATCTTGATCCTGATTTGTTTGACTTCTAAAATGTAGATCCCATTGTCAACAATTAAAGTAATGAAGTTACCACATGATCTGATTCTGATGGGACTTTGGTTCAGAAACTTGTAGATCCTAGGACCACATTATAATTTCCCTTCATTTTTACGAGTGAATGAGTGATAGGACTGCTTGCATTATGTGCTTCAGTTCAGACACCGACCATTTGCATGACACAGCTAAGATCTCTCTCATTTCCTGACCATTATAATATAATTTTAGGGATTATAGTAGCATCTCACAACATTGTTTATCGTATCCTACTAATGGGATGTCAATGACAGTCAGTTTCCACATGTCAAGCATCTAATGATGTGATATCATGCAGTGTCATGTACACACATATTTTGTGTGGTAACATGTCCTAGAATACATCTCATATTTATCAGTTGCCATGAGTTCAACCACCGTCGTAACCAACGATCTCATATTCTAAAAGTGTTCAGCTTTGGCCGATGAAACGTCCGTCAGTCAGTTCCGAAGAAAAAGGAGGTGTTCCTCATCGTTGTGCATCATCTTTTGTCCTCTGAATCACTCGCAAATTGTCATTCCAGTTGCATTACTAAATTGTTTGACTTAGAGAAAAAACACAAGTTCCCGTGTCATGCATCTCCGATCATATATATGCCACACTATCAATGTTGCAACAGAAAATCACTAGTGGCAGAATACTGAATACATGGTCCTGTATATGATGCATGCCCCCGCACCCCCAATTAAGGCATCTGACAGACAGTCGTGGAGCATACTGCAGTAGTATTTTACAAGATCAGTTCGTGCAGATCAAGTAGAAGTCAATTAATCTAGATCTCTGCGTAGAAAGAATTATACTCCTCCCGTTCTAAATTGTAGGCTTTTCTAGATACATACAAACGGTTCGGCTGATGGTTTCTGCGGCTGATAAGCTGGCTAATGCTGTTTTGGTGTGAGAGAAAAACACTATACTATGACTGATAAGCAGTTCAAGCGAACATGGTGTGATTTTACTATTTATATAGATATATACACTATGTATCTAAAAAACGCTCTCCCTTTTCCAAACTATGTATCTACATAGATATATGCACTATGTATTAAAAAACAATCTCTCTGTTCTAAATTATGTATTTACAAAAATTAGAAAGGTTTACAATTTAGACCAGAGGGATATTAGTGTCTCATAAAACGAAATGCCATGGGGGCGTGGCCAAGTGGTAAGGCATCGGTATTTTCTATTGTCAAGCATACACGCTTCTTTACGGTAAAAAAATGCATACACGCTTCTTTCTCCATCCAACCGCCCAAATGATAAAACAGAGGATTCACGAAGCTTCCCGATCTCGTCAACTGGGATTTAGGATGACGTTCACTAAGAATTACCCGCACACGATCATGAGCGGAAAATTGATCTAGTTACTATTATTATTTCATTTATACAGTGCCTAGAGTTGTTCTATTTCACCTTCATTTTTAAACCTGAAAGTGTAATTCATTCATCTGGAACAGCAATGCAAGGAAAATGCAGATTATATGGTAAGTAAAAGAGAAGTGTTGTTAAGACGACTATTTGACGATGTGTCGCACAAGTTCTTCACAACACGTATCTGACAGTCTTGGTTTAAGGTTTAGTGATTGGATTGTTGCTGTTTTACTCAGTCCAAAAAAGAATGAGGTTTTAGGTTTTAAGTTAGTCAAACTTTGTTAAGTTTGATCAAATTTGTAGAAAATAGTATCATCAACATTTATGTCTCCAAATAAATTTATTATGAAAATATATTTCATAATTAATCCAATAACAGGGTATCAAATTAGTACCTTACTATATAGATTTGATCAAACCTAATATCGTTTCTCTTTGAAAAATGAGAATCATATTTTTTTCGGATAGAGGGAGTAACTTACAAACTTTGCCATGATTATAACTTTTAGCTTACTGTTAATAATTTGGCCACGCAATGGGAGACAAATATATATGTACATTTTCGCTAATCAAGTGGTCGAATATATTCAGATAACGTAACTGTGATACAAAACAAGATGTGATTATCTTGAAAAAAGGATTGAGAAAAAAAAAGGATCGACGACCATACTAGTATACGACTGAATTCGGCTAAATTAACTTCAGGTAATAACTTAACCGTCACTCTCTTCAGAAGTTGTCCTGTACTACTTTGTTTGCTGGCCTGTTCTTCGCCAGCCATACACAACGCATAGATAGATCTCCTAATTAACACATCTTTACCATCTTATTAGGCTTCTAGAGAAACTAAAACGAAGGTCATTATTTAGGGTACTGCTGGGATGACAGGATGGCATCCAAGGCTTCCTTCACTTGAGAGAGCTCTGGTGCCTTGCCTCCTTGTGCGGGCCAGAACTCATCGGCAGCCAACACCTGCATGCAGCATGCATCCATCAGATAGAGCTCGATACCATCCCATGCAGAAGGTAGCCAAAAGCACAGATCAGGCTACAGGATAACTTGAAACATTGTATCGTCATCATCACGATACCTTCACTTGCAGCTGGAGAAACTTGACATAGGTGATCGCCTTCTCTAGCATGGTGACCAAGTCCACCTACACAAGAGCCATTTCCATCCAAATTATTAACAGATAGGAACCAGTGAACTAAGATAGATACTGACTAATACAGCAGCTTAACGGAAACGTGCACAATATGTAGCGCGAGTGTATATATATGGATTATTATCGTACCTTGGTGCCGTTGGGCACAAGATCTTGCAGGACCTTGAGCTTCTCGGCAATCTTCTCTCTTCGAACCTTTGCAGCTACGCTTTGAGGGTCCTTGGTAGGAGCAGGAGCAGCCTTGGCCTTGCTCTTCCTGGCCCCGCCACCAGACTGCTTCTTCGCTGCTGCAGCTTGCACCTCACCATCCTGCTTCAAATCAATATCATGTTACTATTCGCTTGAATCCAGTGTCCAGTCATGACTAATTTTGATGTCATCCTTATGTATAACCATGCATGAATTAGCCTTGATTTTTGGAGATGAGTTAATATTGATTAGATAATTAATTACCCGGCGTGCACGCTTGTGAGGCGCCTTGGCCGGCAGCTGAACGGTGCCCGGCTCCTGGATGTATAGGCCAGCATCATCAGGCGAGCTGCCTGGGCTGACGACGAGTCCAAAGTTGCAGCCGGATCCGTGCTGCTGCTGTGCCGGATGCTCGACCATGCCAGCGGCCGGGTCCATCCAGAGCGCGCACCCGTCTTCGCCATAGGCCAGGTGATGCTGTCCGCCGCTGCCGGCCTGCTCGAAGCTGAGCACCGACGAGCTTGAGCTGGATGTGGCGCCCGAGCCACCGTAAGCAGCCCAGCTGCTGTAGTAATCAGCCAAGGCACCGTCGCACCCGCCCTTGAAGTTGTCGTCGTCGAAGGCGAGCTGCAGGGAGAGGGCTGCCGCAGCAGAGCCGCCGTCGGCCTCATCACCGTCCACGACGACGCCGTGGTAGCCGAATAGCTCGAGGGACATGGAGGAAGGTTCATCCTCGTACATCATTGGCCGGAGCAAAGCACTGCGCTTGCTTGCCGCCTGAGCCATCTAATTAATCCCTCGATGGACTGAGTTGAGCTAGCTATCCCTAGCTTCGTGTCGCTGAACGTGAGAGTGGTGTGATCGTGTTTAGGAGATGGAGAAGGAGTAAACAGCTAGGGTTTTCGTTCTTGGTAGCTTAGCGTGGGATGCCTAGCTCGATCTGGCTATGCATGCGTGTAGGCCGGCAGCCACTTATAGAGAGGGTTCTGAAGAAGAAGCTAGCATAGGTAGCTAGCAGGTGTTACTAGCCTCTGGAGCTTAAGACAGCAAGTTGGTCTAATCCTCTAACCAGCGAGGTCTTGAGCTGACATACACGGTGAAATGAACACTGCTATGTTAGCTAAGGGTGTGTTTGGTTTGAGGGTTTGAAGGGGTTGGAATGGGTTGGACCCAGATGGGGAGGTGTTTGGTTGAAAAGGTAGTGGGTTGGGTTCATCCTAGTAAGAGAATATTCCCCTCAGATGCGAGTTGGATGCATCTGCCCAAAACGAGTGGACGCATCCAACCCACATGCACGGCGGCGTCCTCTGTTTCTGCGCGAGAGGAGGAGCTGGCGCGAGGGGCGCGGGCCTCGGCCTCCGGCACCGCATGAGGCTGCTCCGGCCATGGCGAGCCGCGCATGGGGAGAGGCAGGGGCTGGTGGAGGCTGGCGGGGAGGAGGGTAGCGGCTGGCATCGGGGAGAAGGGAGGGGTGGGCGGCGGCACAAATAGAGAGGGAGACAGCAGCAAGAAGTCGCGGGGAGGACGGTGGCCGGGAGCAGCGAGGAGGATGGCGGCAGGAGCGCCGGCCCGGGGTGCTCCGCAGTCCGGCCATGGGAGCTTCGCCACGCCAGCCTGGGGGAGCTGCGCCGCACCGGGCCAGGGAGCTCCGCCGCCGCCTCCGGGAGCAGCTCCGCCGCCGGCCCCGGGTGCTCTGCGCCGCTGGTGGGAGGGACGGCGTGGGAAGGAGTCTCGGTGTGGCCTGTGGGGGAGAAGATAAGGCAGGGTAAAATGAAAAAAAGAAAATGTTAAGGTGGATGACACGTGGGACCTAATGGATGATAGGTGGGTCCGTCAATAGATGTGGCTAACGGTGTTAAAATGGCATCCATCCCAACCTTCTCATCCCCTCCAACCAAACAAAAAATTAGAACGGACCCATCCCTCCTAACCAAACACGAGACGGGTTGAACCCAACCTAAAAAATTGGGATGAACCCAACCCATTCCACTTCATCCCAAAACCAAACACAAGGTAAGAGAATATTCCCCTCAGATGCGGGTTGGATGCATCCGCCCAAAACGAGCGGACGCATCCAACACATGCACGGCGGCGTCCTCCGTTTCCTGCGCGAGAGGAGGAGCTGGCGCGAGGGGCGCGGGCCTCGGCCTCCGGCACCGCATGAGGCTGCTCCGGCCATGGTGAGCCACGCATGGGGAGAGGCAGGGGCTGGTGGAGGCCGGCAGGGAGGAGGGTAGCGGCCGGCATCGGGGAGAAGGGAGGGGCGGGCGACGGAAGAGGGGCGGGCGGCGGCACAAATAGAGAGACAGCAGCAAGAAGCCGCGGGGAGGACGGTGGCCGGGAGCAGCGAGGAGGATGGCGGCAGGAGCGCCGGCCCGGGGTGCTCCGCAGTCCGCCCAGGGGAGCTTTGCCACGCCAGCCTAGGGGAGCTGCGCCGCACCGGGCCAGGGAGCTCCGCCGCCGCCTCCGGGAGCAGCTCCGCCGCTGGCCCCGGGTGCTCTGCGCTGCTGGTGGGAGGGACGGCGTGGGAAGGAGTCTCGGTGTTGCCTGTGGGGGAGAAGATAAGGCAGGGTAAAATGAAAAAAAGGAAATGTTAAGGTGGATGACACGTGGGACCTAATGGATGATAGGTGGGTCCGTCAATAGATGTGGCTAACGGTGTTAAAATGGCATCCATCCCAACCTTCTCATCTCCTCCAACCAAACAAAAAATTAGAACGGACCCATCCCTCCTAACCAAACACGAGACGGGTTGAACCCAACCTAAAAAATTGGGATGAACCCAACCCATTTCACTTCATCCCAAAACCAAACACAAGGTAAGAAGAGGACATCCATGGATGGCATGACACATGCTGCTACTTAGGGTTACAGACATATACTTGCATAATTATCTGTTCAGTTCAGCTTATTAAGGCAAGCAGCAGTAATTAGTGACACAGGCAGCTTGAGAGCCGCCGTGACATACGGGTGTCCCATGTTGTAGTGAAGAGAGAGCCACTAATTTACACATGTACTCCTCCACAGATGGATCCTCTTCACGTGGCATTCAATTAGGCCACTTCGTGCTTGTGTGCATTGTTACACTAAAACAAAAGGTAGAAGGACATCAAAGCTGGCTAAGCTAGGTGATGGCAAGCTATTTTTTAAAGCTGGACGCCAGGTCGCCAGTGCACACACGAAGTATTAACAGCTAGCGAGCAATCTCGGCTTCCGTCCCCATAATATCCAAGCCCAAGTGCAGTATAGAAGAAATAAAGATCGATACATATGCATGCGTAGAGGAAAAACTTCATTATCATGCATGCACAGACTACCAAGTTTATAAAAGAAAATATATTGACATCTACGGTCTCGAATGAACCCACGTCAAAATATATTTCACAGTGTATCTAATAAATATAGTTTGATGTAGTAGATGTTTGTGCATCTTTGTATAAACTGGATTAAAGTTAGAGAAGTTTGACTTAGAACAAAGCTAAAATGACTTATAATTTGGAATGGATGTGGACTAGCATATGCTGGTGTGAAAATGGCTGCAAAATGGTGTCATATACTCCTGTACCTCCTATATGTAATAGGTAGCCACCAAAGAGATGGCCTTCCTGTGACATTAGGGTACCAATCTGGTTATCCGGCTTCCTGAAAGACAAAATGTGCTCAAATGGTCAATTCTGAGTTCCAAACAGTTTAAATATGGTTGGAGAAAGATAGGCATCAAATGTTCAATTAACCATGAAGTACACATACTCACCATTCTTCTGCACTGTAACCTATAGAAGAAAATATTGTTAATGGATAATCGGTACAATTACCGACTTGCATCCAGCTAAACACGAGCACTAGTGGTACAAACCTTAAAATAATATAAGCTGTACTGCTACGTACAGGGAAGATAACCTTCATGCACGGGCATCCTAACAAGGCAGGTCAGCCATGGTATCTGCTCCAAGCTTCGACGTGCCCTCACGTTTCATCGGGAAGCTATGTACCACTGAAAATTAACCAAAGCTTGATTGTCCTTGCAAGAGTGGCCTTTCTAAGCTTCACATGGCCTTGCTAGCAGAGCCCAACACTGCTGAAATATTTATGTTGAGCGCATGTGTCACACTTGCTGCGAAAACGCTTAAACTATATGTCCTTCGGCCTCCGGAGTCAGCTTCAGCTTCAGCCTCAGCAGCCGTGAGAAACCTGGACCTGCAATCTCCCAGAGAGAAGAACAGACAAACGGGACGTGCGACGCAGTCGTGCAGCACCCGTCGTGCAGCACGTAGAGATTCCACCCCACCAACCTACTCGACTCCGTGCATCCTGCAATACAAAACTGGAAAATCAGATATATAAAGTATCACAATTCACAAGTAGAATGTACCAGTATTATACAGCATCAAGACAGTCTCTGAAGACCAGAGCTGACGTACTCGTCAGCTTCGAGTAAACAACAGCTAGTGCATGCCTGGACTATATATTCCCTGTTGATCAGATGCTTTGGGGATAACTTCTCAACAAACTGGATATATTTGGATATCATTAACTCTAAGCATGGTTTTGTGCCTTGGTTGAGTTGGGTTGCTCCAATATAATGGCTGTACAACTATGTGTTATGATACAAGTGCGTTGTGCTGACACAAACTAGAGCCACAAATGATAACTTTCACTAGGTAGCTGGTTGATGATTTGAGGCAGGGATGGGACAAGATACTAAGAGATGCAGCTAATTTTCAACTGGTAGCTGAAAAGGACTTGATCCAATGGAAATTTGGCAATAATGGCCATTTTAGTGTTAAATCTGTCTACAAAGCCTTAACTGTTAGTGATGCTGACCCATAGCGCATGAAAATTTGGAAAGGGAAGATCCCTGCCAAAATCAAAATATTCCTATGGTTAATTATGAATAATGCAATTCTTACAAAGGACAACATGATTAAAAGAAGATGGTTGGAAGCCCCACTTGCTATTGAAACTGTTCCTCATCTTCTTTTTCAATGCAGTATTGCAAAAGCTGTTTGGGCCTCATTGCCCATTGTGTTGGTGCTAATAACGTTCCTAGATCAATTGAACAATGTTGGACGTGGTGTGAGAATTGGCACCGGCTGGTAAACAGTTCAATACCCTGGGTATTGCAGCTATCTGCTGGGCAATTTGGAAAATGCGCAACACTGTGTTTTGAAGGCAAATCTGTGACAAATCCTGTTACAATTGTGTGCTTCGCCTGTTCGCTCATGAGTTACTGGGTAGGTTCCTGGAGAATGACAAGGAAGCTCTGGTGGTGGGTGTCAAGCTGATGAACAAGAAGACGGCGAAAAAAGGGCAGTACTTGCTGAAGGATGATAAGGGGGACAGTCAGGAGGACTGAGAAGGGCTTTTCTGATGCCAGTTTCGCTGGAAGGCTTTGCCGAAGTTTGTCTGGTGTTTGTGCTAGTTCTTCAGCAAAACTGTAATTTCGTTGGTTGACTCATGGTAGTCGTTGCTTTGTCGCTGTTACTTTTGTGGTCTCGATGCTGTTCTCTGTAGATCGTCTGAACCAGGCGAGTGTCGTTTTGTAAGGGTACCTTTTGTAAACTCTCTTATCGCTCCCTTCTTCTGTCTGAAATACTCTTTAATGCTGTATTTCCCTTGCAATCAATGGAAATGGAGAGATCCCCAAAAAAAAAAAAAAAAAGCCAGGGCATAACTAATTTGGTAGATCGCCATATTAACACTGCCTCAGTCCTCGCTACAAGACTTACTAACAAAGTCATTTGTAATTTCACATATGCGCATGGTGATGCAAACATGACAAGGTTAGAGGCAGTGAAATACTCCATCTATTATTCCGAATTATAAGTCATTATCGTTTTTCTAGATTCATAGTTTTTACTATTTATATCTAGAGATTTATCTAAGTGCATAGCCAAAGCTATGTACCTATAAAATCCTAAATGACTTACAATTTGGAATGGAGGGAGTACCTTATATCTCATGCAGCCACCAAAATACAGATACTGATGTATTACCTTGTGTGGATACATGTATCCCTCTGCTGAAGTTCCAGCCTGCAATATAAAACAAGAACTTAACTCTGTCAAGAGTAAGATTCAGTATTCATATACTTAATCACTATAATCAATTAATCATTAAGATTGCAATAACTCCACCTTGTCACACAACCCAGATCTTGATCTAGGGCTTCTACTGATTTCGTTACGCAATTGCCACCAACTGCAGGATACAGCTCATTCTATCGTAAAGCAAACAAACTCTAAATTCTTAAAGTGCCACATGGAAGTCGGCATGGTAATAGATTGATAAGTTATCAGTTAGCATTTCATTCCAGTCACCTCAAATGATAGCTTGTTGTCTAGCAGGCCAGTCTTGCAATAGTCAACATTCAGATAATAATATGATGTACCCACAGCAATAAAATGTGTACTAGTAATCATGCTGTTCTGTAAAACTCCTACTGTCTTTACTAACTGACATATGTATCTTGCATTACATCACCAGGTTTTCTGCTCAATGATGCATCGATGTTTCATTATTTCTGCAGTGTCCCAAACTCCCAACCAATATTTCTCAAAAGGATAACCCCTATTATACTTTGACTTATTGGTACTTGAAGAAAGTTCACAAATTATGAGTCTACACATGAAGATCAGCTTCTCCAGCAACTCTTCACACATTCAGTTAACTGGCACAAACAAAATATGCTGCACTATCTGCCACATTATTACTGAGTTCCACACTTTAGCTCATAGAACATGTCATCTATGAGTCTGAAAACTACACCCATTGCAACCCTGTTTCCTATAGGCCAAAGTTATTCCCACTAAGTTACCACATGGGCCTGGTTGGCCTGGTCTCAGCTTTAAACTTAGTAGTAATAAATATGTAATATGCTTTAGTAAAGTTAGGTCCAAATAGCTAGCTTAACATTTAACTAAACTTGAAGCCCACTACCAAAGCACCAGGTGGGCCTCAGCTCAAATATACAGGGGATAATGAACCATAAGTTCGCTCGTACTGCTTTAGCTAGGATCACCTAATAAACCATCATATTGCATCTATAAGTATAGGCCCAATAGGACACCTTATATACTTTGAGCCTAGAGGTCCAAGAAATCATCCACATGCAAAGAAAGTTCAATATGCAACCAAATACTGACTATTTAAAATGATTTTGTTTCAACTTTCAACAAAGTTAACTGAGTTCAGATCTAGCATCAGATGTAATTGTGAAGAGAGAAAACATGTGTGCTATCAGAGTTTAAAGGTTAACCATACCCTCTAATATTTCGCACATCATTTTTGCATACGCATGACCAGAAACCATTACCTATTCTATTACTGTACATTCATATTTTTGGTTAGCCAACCAAGAGTTCTAAGCAGGGCTGGCTACCTATCAATCTTTGCACACATAACTAGAAACCAATTCCAGCTCCATCACACTGAGTGCACCACAAGTTTTAGTAAGCCAACCTGATAGGAGACTACTATTCTAAGCTGGTTAAGGTCTAATTTAGGCAGTGACCTGTTATGGACATGATTTATTGGGGGAGGAAGGAGATGGCGAGTGCCGCAGATCATTTGAACTATTTCTTAAGTTAAACCTCCTTCACAAGTACAGATAAACAAACCAGACCCAGTTACATTACATATTGACATGAGGTTCACAGTATAAGTTAGCAAGAAGAAACTAAACTTAGATATAGAGAGCAATGATAAACAACCATGAAAGATAAGGGATATTCATTGCAGCTGGGCAAAAGGGCTACAGGTTTTCACTGAAAATACATTTCTCCAGATTTACTTAACATCAGCCCCACTAAACCACATATGAATTATCTGGGAGGTTGGGACTGATACATGACACAATCAGACTAAGAGGTGACCTGCATTAACAACCTAGTAGCTCCATAAGAGTAACAAAAAAAGGTATAGTGGCAAGAGACTGCATAACAATTTTAAGAAAGCAGGTGACTGCTAGTATGTGGCAGGTAAAAATAACAGCAGTCATCACTTTAAATTGTGTGCCTACAGCATACTTCAAATTTTTTTTCTAAAACACAATCATGAATCACCATCTAGTGAGTTCATCTGTCTGTCAAGCTCCTCATCAGCCTTCTTCAGAAAAACATCCCAGCCACTCCCCTCTCCCCAATCCAGCATATCATATGGCACTGCTGTCATCAATCCTGGCCTCACTGCACCCTGCTGCATGACCACCCGAAACTCCAGCTCAGGCACTCTCCCCTCCTCCTCAAGCTCCTCCCAAGCAAACAGCAGCGGCAAGGTATAACCACCCCATGGATTGAAATCTATCAGCTTGACCCGCCCATCCGCCCTCACATATACATCAAACGTATAATTGATTGAAGCAAACTGTGGCTCAATCACTTCATCAAAGAAAGCCTCAATTTTCGGTTGCACCTCAGAACTCCATCCAGGCAGTGATGGGTAGTAAGCTGATGGGTCTCTCTGCGACACAGCAACCAGCTTCCGCTGCCGAACGAAGCATCGGAACTCTGACTCAGGGCGTAGGCCTGGGTACCACTTGCGGAGGGCAAGGTAGTATTGGAACCCATCATCCACCCAAGTAGTCTCGTTACTTTCTTCTTCTGTTGCAGCTTCAACATCACAGTCCTCATCATCTGTCTTGCCTCCCTCCTCGCCTATCTTGCTTGAATTACTTGGAGCTTCATTGGTGCCCTCGTGGCTGCCTTCGCTGCTACCAGTCTCATCGGCATTTGGTCGAGCACCTTCCTTGGCACCGGCCCTAACATTTTGGGCATTCCGTCGAGCACCCTCCGGGCGCACGAAATCCTCGCATGATTGTCGAGCGGAGGCAAGGTCGTGGGCCACACAGTCGGAGGAGCGGAGCAGCATGGCAACCTCGGCGAAGCAAGTGCACCGAGTCGTCCCATCGGCAGACATGAAGGTGGCATCCTTGGGCGCGCTCCAGTTGAGCTTGGGGAGCGCGGCGCCGCCTAGCTCGGCGATGGCGGCGTCGATGGCCGCCTCCAGCTCCGGGAACTCCGGCCGGAGCGGGTGGTCGGCGTCGGGGTCAAAGACGTCTTCGTCGTTGGAGCCGAAGAAGATGTCGGAGTTGAGGAGGGAGTCGGGGTCGGGGTGGTGCGCGTGGATGGGTGCGAAGGCCTGGCGGCCGGAGGTTATCGCGGGGAGGAGGAACGGGAGCGGCTCCTCATCAGCGTCGGCATCGGCGTCAGGGTCGGGGTAGGCCCGCTGGCCAGCGAGGTAGCGGAGGAAGGCGGCGGGAAGCGGGATGATGACGGTGGGGATGGAGTGGCGGCGGAAGGCCGGGTACCACTCCTGGATCTGGCACCGGAGCAGCTCCTCGAGAAGCATCTCCTTTGCTTGTTTGCTTCGCTGCGATTCGCGCGGCTTCCCCGTGGCTGTGGGTGTAGCTCGCCGAGTCTTCGTTCTCCTCGTCGGCGGCCTCCCGTCTTCTTTGGGTTAAAACCCTCGCAGCCTCGCTGCCCTCTGTCGGGATCGTTCGAGTCTTGCTGGGTCGGGGTTGCGTGGGAGTTTGGTGCAGCATATGGTTATGAGGCTTACATGGTTCAACATGGGCCGTTTTGGGATGTCAACAGATTGGGATTTGGACCATGGACATTACTAGCTGTTGGGCCGCCCATCAAGGTCCAATAGTTGGATGCATTGCATCATCCGGAGGCCCTTAGCTCGTGGTCTGCTTCCACCCACCACAGTTCTATCTCATTTCTCATTCTCCTTAAAAAAGACAGTTCTATCTCATGTATTTTTTCTTTAATTAATTTCTACGATCAGAAAACTATTAAGTTATTATAAGGTTGCGTTGGAGTTGATTGGAACCCAATGACATAATAACATCATCCTATGAGTCTTACTAGCATGATATACTCATGTAGTTGCTAGGATGGTCGATAGAAGTTGACTGATGCTTTCATGGTTTGCGAAAAATATGATGATTTCCACCTCTACTCATTACTAGAAACATGACATGAATGATGAACCAGAGATCGGGTAGGAATGTGTTCATGTTGGATTGATAGGGCATTAGAATTGGGGTCTGGTTGTGTAGTCGCACCCTTGTAGATCAAGGATCATCCTTTGTCGGCCAATAGGTTAGGCTTGAATGTACCAAACCACATACTGGCTGAATAAGACTGGGAAACCGATATAGTTCCTTACCCTAAGGGAACTATTTGTAGTTCCCTAAATGGTTTCACTGGTTCTCCTGGTAGTAGTAGAAGGCAAGGAATCACTGTTGTAGCTTGTTGATTACCTGGTCGGGCCATGGGCCATGAGCCATGGGGTTGGGTTCCTCGACCTTAGTGGACGAGTGAGGGAAAGGTTGCCATGTGTGACCATTTAGGGAGTACGTGTCATGTGTTTGGGTTACCATGCATGATGTAAATCAATTTGAATCACCGCACTCCTAAATACCACTTGACTACACACCAACATCATATTTTTTTGAGAATTACACGGTACAACGTAGACGTCCACAACATGCACGCACACTCACCCCTATGAACACACGTACGCAAACCCTACCCCTATGAGTACCTCCGAATGACTGAGCCAGTAGATCTCGAGATTTATGAAGTCACCACTGGCACCTCGCTATCGACGGGGACGTCGCCTACCACTAAAAGCACAGCGTCGTTAAATCCTAGAATAAATCCAGAAAAATGCGAGCACCCGTGCCAAGTCAAGGACTTGAACCCAGGTGGGCAGGTTCCACCACAAGGAACCTAGCCAACTGATATACGATCAGTTCGCAACATCATAGTTAATGTACGAGAATATGATGGCTTATGAAAAATGAATTATAGTTACTTGCCTAGTCTTGACAGGTTAACTACTTCGATGTTGCTAAAACTTGAAAGACTAATGATTCAAAGTTAGTAAGCTTTTTTACAAGAAAGTTAACCAACTAGCCAAACAACCTTTGCATATCCTTGAGAGATGGGGTAAGTGTATCACCTATTTGGACAAGTCTTGTGGAGTACTTGTGTACTCAGGATTTGTTCCCAAAATGTTGTAGATGATTTGCATGCGGAACATGACGATGCTCGCTGAGATTTGAGCTTTTCCTCATGATCATTATCTTGTGGTCAAGCTTAGTCATGCAGACTTTTGGTATCTCATAGTGGGCTTGTTGATAATTCCCTCTTACTTCGTGTTTCATTTATTTCAATCTTGAAAGGATCAAGATGTCCAAGAGGGGGGGTGAATTAGGTTCAACTAAAAATTCTTGCAATAATTAAGTCCTACACTTAGTCCATTTCACCCCTAGTGCCTAAATGTGTTCTCTATTGTTCTAACGCACAAAAGTTTTACACCCTAGGTTCCAATTCTACTCTAACATGGCAATTCTAAGAATGTAAAGATATGAATTGAATTGCTTGAAAGTAAATGCTCAAAGTAAAGGGAGAAAAATGAATGCGGCAATGTTTTGCCAAGGTATAGAGAGTTGCCACTCCCCCCCACTAGTTCTCGTTGGAGCACCCGAGCAAGGGTGTAGCTCACCCTTGATCCGCGCAAGGATCAAGTGCTCTCTATAGGCTGATTCTTTGTCTCTCTAACATAGTGAATCAACCACAACCGCTCACAAGATGAGTTGGGTCATCCACAAGCTCCACCAGATGATCACCAAGCTCCCAATCACCACCGAGCCGTCTAGGTGATGGCAATCACTAAGAGTAACAAGCACAAACTCTCACTTGACCATGACAAGCCTAATGAGAAAGGTGGATACACACTTGCTACTTCCTATGCACTAATGAGGTCCTTAATCCTTAGATTAACAAATCTCAATCACCCCACTTGGCTCTTGCAGTCCCTTGAACTCCAAATGGTTGCCTCAGCTGAATAAATGAGCAAGAGAGAGGAATTGGACGAGTAAGTGATGTATTTATACACCCCACTTCCAAACATAACCGTTGGGGTCCAATTCAGCAACTCATGGGGGCACCGGACACACCTGTTAGAGTGACGGACGCGTCTGGTGTAGGGTCGAGATGGCAGACTAGAGGGGGGTGAATAGTCCTTTCTAAAATTAAATGCGCCGGCTAACCGAAATAAATGCGGAATCAAACCTATCGGTCTAGCCAAGACTACACCCCTCTATCTAAGTTCACAAGCACCTTATAAAGTTCCTAATTAGGCAACAAAGGTGCCGGGCTAGCTAGAGCTCACCTAACCAATCTAGCTTACAAGGTCACACAAACCTATGCAACTAGTACTTCACACAACCGAGGGAGCTCCTACACAATCTAGTAAGCAAAAGCACAAAGCCACCTAAGCTCACTAGCAATGCTCAATAACAAGTCTACACAAGCCAAATTATGGAGCTCAAAGCACTAAGCTACACAAACTAAGCAATACGACTAACAAGGTTACTCAAACCAAATTAGTCACGCAAGGGAGCTACTTCTATGCTACACAAGCAAGAAGGTAACTAGCAAGCTATGCAAGCTAACTAATTACAAGAGCAACTACACAAGCACAATGTATATGAAAGTAAATACAAGCTTGTGTAAGGGGATTGCAAACTAATGGGAAGACAAGGATGACACGACAATTTTTATCCCGAGGTTCACATGCTTGCCAACACGCTAGTCCCCGTTATGTCGACCATTCACTTAGTGGTTTGGTGGCTAATTGGCACCACACCAAGCCCACACGTTGGGCGCCACAAGAACCCCCACAAACCAAGTGAGGATAGCTCAATGACACGCTCTACTAGAGTTGCTCTTCGCGGCTCCCGCAGGGTGAGCACAATACCCCTCACAAATCACTTCTCTGGAGCACCGCACAATCTTCCTTGCGTGCTTCGACGAAGACCACCACCAAGCCATCTAGGAGGTGGCAACCTCCAAGAGTAACAAGCATCACCGGCTTACAACTCAATCACCTAGTGCCACTCAATGCAATATTTCAATGCAATCGCACTAGAATCACTCACTAGCAATCGGATCGCACTCTTGCAAGCACAAGTGAGTTGGAGGGCTCCCAAGCACTCTCAAGCATGGACACAAAGTCCCCCTAGGTGCTGAACCTCAGCCATGCCTGAGTACCCCTTTAATTTATAGCTCAAGGGCTCAAAAGAACCGTTGCTCAAAAACTGCTCGGGGAGGTCCGGACTCAGGCTTCGGACCCAGGGTCTGGACCATGAACAGTGAGGGTCCAAACCATGGGATGCTGCCACATGTCCCCAGGTTCGAATGCCGACCATTGGAGCTTCAACGGTCACTTTCGTGTGCTCAGACAACAATCGGACCGAGCAACTGGACCATCTCACACCTCGGTCCTATTCAGCTCCTAAGAGCTCCCAAAGCAACCGGACCCGGTCCTGTTCCTACAATCGGACCATCTCAGGGTCCTGTCCCTTCAAACACATATAAAAAACACTCAACTGGACCCAGAAAACATGGTCTGGACCCTAGAACCGGACTCAGGGGACAGGGTCCTGAGCGCTAAAACGACGATAACTCTTAGCTCCGAACTCCGATTTCGATGATCTTGGACATTTTGGAAAGTTTATGCAGAGGGCTACACATCACACATGCATATTTGATCCAAAGCACAAAGGATCAACATAGAATTTCCATCCAAGAACCATCAAAGTTCAACACAAACCAATAGGACCATCTCACAATGGTCCTGTTGCCCTCCACCAGGGTCCTGTTGACCTTTTTACCTCCAAATCATCTCAAATTTCTTCTCCTTTGCAAATGTACCAACACCACTAAGTGTACTCCATCATGTGCAAGTGTGTTATCATTTTCACAATCATTTTCAAAGCATTAGTCAATCAATTCACCACGCCACTCGATCCTATCAACGATGCAAAGTTAGATCACTCAAGTGGCACTAGATGACCGATATGCAAACAAGTTTGCCCCTCTTGATAGTACGTCAATCTATCCTAAACCCAGTCATAAACTTCTCCACACACCTATGACCGATGAAATGAAATGCCCTATATGTTATACCTTTGCCTTATGCATTTCATTCCATCTCCTCCATTGTTGATACAACACATGCACCAACCATAACACAAATGATATGATCCACTTTATATCATCACATGACCTTATTGGTTCATTGATCTTGACCTCACTTGCTCTTCACCATTGCTTCGGTCCATCGGCGCCAAGTCATCACTCAACTTGCCCTTCACACTTCCAACCGGTCCATCAAGACAAGTCTTGTCTTGATCTTCTCCACCTTAGTCACATGACTCAATGTCATGTCTCATATGCAATGAGCTCCTTCATTACATGTGTGCACCTTGCAACAAATCCAATCCATCTTCACCGTCATGGCATAAGTTGCTCACACAAGTATATCTATGG